CTCTCTCTCTCTCTCTCTCTCTCTCTCTCTCTCTCTCTCTCTCTGTCTCCCTCTCTTTTCCTCAACTCCGAGCATGGACATGACAAAATAATTGATGACGCGTACAGATTTGCCAAGGTCAGTTAATTCCAGTATAACCTATACATAGACAAAGATGAACGATGTGTGGGCAGGGCACGTCAGCGCCTAACGTCAAAGATATATATTATACACATTCAATATGTTTACAGTTTACACGGAAGGTTTCTCAGATAACAGACAACGGGGGGTCATCTAAAGTCGAAACACATGAGGCAGCTGAAAGATATGACCTTCACATAGAATTAATTCGCCCCCTTTCCTGTGAATTCCGGCGACAGACACTGCATCTTGTGAAAACAACGAACCCAGATGCATCAACACGATTCTACTTACGCAGTCGCCCGCACAATGCACGCTATGCAGTTACAGTGCCTATAGCAACAATATCCCATCTACAACCCCTATCAAAATCTAATCTACATCTAATATTAGAAGTGTCATAATATAGATCTATATTATGTATTATATATATTACATGTGTGCCCATGTATTATATACTATCAGGAGTAGATAATAGGGAAATTAGAATTTAATAGATTAAGGAAATTAGATTTTAATAGGGAAATAGATAATTCCCTATTATCTACTCCTGATACTATCTATAGTCCCTAAAAAACTCAAGCTACATGTAATCTAATTTCCCACGAGACATCGAATTAATCACACTTTTGGGTGCCGCGCAATTTCGCCTAATATACCGACATCTGGCTAATATGTTAGAAACATCCGCGTCATAATTAATACACCCACATACGGCGGCGCGCTCATATATTCACCCCGGCCCACCAAAATAAGGTAAATTACATCCCTGAACATATGCCGCGCAATCCCAATAATGTCCTGCATCGATTAGCTATCCGTATTTCATAATGTACGACCATAAATATCACGAATTATCCATCAGTCATTAAATTTTATATGGTACGCCTACGTGCCTTATATATTTCACGATGCTACTACTATAATGTCAGTGAACATTTTAGCCTCCGGGTCTGAAAGTGATTTCATCGTTTGGAAATGCTAGCGCTGCATTTGACAGTAATCTTAGTGTTTGTTTATACATGCGGGAAGTTATGAACCCTTTTTCACGGGTGAATTAATTATCTATATCACATGCATTAGATTTAAATCACGAATGAAAAGCAGTAGCAGAGGTCGCTGAAATGTTAAAATAACATTATTCCATATACGTATTAATAAATCAATGAGCTAAAGTGAACTGTAAAAACGTTATTTTCGGTTAGACGTTTAAGTGTCTCTTATATTTTGCATTCGATTCCATCGATCGCTTGTATATGGAAATAGCAAGTGCGTCAGTAATAACTTAGCAAAGATTGCACATGCCTTTCACAGTAGATGGAAAAGTCATAATATAACGAATCATTTATGCCCAAAAGACGGCGCCACCATACAGTGCCGCGTTTTTGATGAGTATAATTATGCGAGTTGCTTTAATG